CCCCTGGGGCAAGTTGCCCCGAGAAGCTGTGGCTGCCCCATCCCTGGAGGTGGTCAAGGCCAGGTTGGACGGGGCTTGGAGCAACCTGGGCTGGGGGGAGGTGGCGCTGTCCGGGGCAGGGGGTTGGAACTAGATGGTCTTTAAGGTCCATTCCCACCCAACCATTCTATGATTTTATGATTCTACGGTCTTCAGCTAGACCGGGTTGCTCTGGGAGAGGCTGTCCATTGGTGCCCTAAATCTCGCCTTTTGGTAGCTTTCCCAAGACTCAAAATAGCACCCAGCAAATAAAACCTCTGTGAAGCCCTTCTCCCCCGCGGCTGTGGGTCTTCACACATGACCAAGTGTGCAATGCTTGTCTGGCAGGATCCGGTGAACTTTGAGGACGTTGCCATCTATCTGAGCCGCGCAGAGTGGGACACCATTGCGGAGGAGCAGAGGGAGCTGTACCGCAGCGTCATGCTGGACAACTACAATCTCTTGACATCCCTGGGTAAACCTGCACTTAATCTCCGCTGGGTCGCAAGGCAGGGGACAGGGGCTTCCATCACATTTGCCTCCATCAAAACTATGCTGCTTCCAGCACTTTGAGGGGCTGATCAGCGTGTTTTGAACTATGGCTACAGGGTTGGGATAATTGCTCCCACCACCTGCAGTCCTGGTGTCCTGCAGTCTCTTTGGGAGACCCAAACGCAGGATTGGAATCATAGAATCGCAGAACAGTTAGAGTTGGAAGGGGACCTTAAAGACTATCCAGTTCCACCCCCTCTGCCCTGGGCAGGGACACCTCCCACTAGACCAGGTTGCTCAAAACCCCATCCAGCCTGGCCTTGAGCACCTCCAGGGATGGGGCAGAGTGGAGTGGAGGGGCGGAATTACCTCCAGAGGGGCAGAATCGCCTCCATTTGAGTCTCTCTGAGCTCATGGCCCCCTCTGAAAATGTAACCGTGGGTGAGCAGCCTGTCCTGAGGCCAGGCAGTGACCTTTTGGGGTGTCCTGGCCACGGGTCAACGACTCTGTCCTCTCCGCTGGGCGCTCAAGCTGCAGCGGAGCAGGACTAGCACGTACCAGGCCAGGTCAGGGGAGCAGACCCATCAGAGTTCCCTGAACCAGCATAGTCCCTTCAGAGGACTTCCCCACTGACACCAGGATGGGACGAAGATCTCATTACCTGGGAGGATGTTCCCCACCCAGTAGGTTCTTGTAGGATGAGCAGCAGATAACGCCTCGCTGGGAAACCTCTCAGCAGTGTTGTGAGTCCGTTCCCGTGCTCCCATCAGGGCTCTGCCCTTGTCCTTGTGAATAAATTCATCGCTGCCAGCAGCTCTGGTGTCTCTTGCCTTTTTTCCCGATTTTTGTGGTGTTTCTACTTGGGCTCTTCTAGTGACGGTGAAATACAGCTTGGCCTGTGACAGAGAAGACCTTTATTTTCTCTTGTTAACAATGTATTCCTACAGTTTGTGTTTGAACAACACCCTCTGCTCCACCCCCCAGGTTACCCAGGCCCCAAACCTGACATTTTATACCGGCTGGAGCGTGGGGAAGAGCCGTGGGTCTGCACACCACAGAGCCCGGTGAGGTGGGATAGATCCGACAGCCGCTCTCCAGGTGAGCAGGAGCAATCTAAACCTCGTAGGACCACCTAACCTCGACGGGGAGTGGTGGCACATTCCAAAGGCCGCCCTGAGCTCCTCTACTCTGTAGCTGTGACCAGCGTGTCTCTGGGGTTGCCCTCCTGTCCAAATCCTGCCTCTTTTTGAGGTGTCTCCCCCATTTCCTTGTGGCCCTGCAGCCCTCCCCGTGCGGGGCAGCAGCAACGTCAAAGGGAAACAGAGGCTGCCCGTCTCCCTGCACAAAACCTGCAGCTCCACAGAGACGCTGCTGATCTGCTGCTGCTCGTCCCCCTCAACCCACGGAGAATCCTCCCCCAGTTCAGTCGCCTGTGAGAGGGGTTGCGGCTTTCTGGCTGCTGGCGGCAGACAGGGCTTCCTCCTCTGGCCCCGTGGAGCAGAAGGGCTTCCCCGGCCAGAAGGGTGACACGCGTCTGGTTTCCGTGCAGGACACGACGAGGACAGGAGCCGGGTGGAGGAACCACCCTCAGGCTGGTGGCCTGGTGCTGCCGGGCACCATGTGCTGGAGGAGAGGACAGAGAGCCCCTGCCAAGGTGAGTCCTGGTCCTTCTCCTTCTTCACCTCTGCAGCAAAGAGCCCGAGGTGGGCTCCAGCCCCCTGCCTGTCCCCAGCTGCCTGTGCCGCACCCGGTCGTCGCTGCCACGGCTTCTTCTTCCACCCCTGCGCAGGCAGCATCCCCGGGCAGGTTGAGTCTCCTGCCCATCCAGACAGTGATTGGGGTTGTGGAGCCCAAGAGGCCCCTGGACTGGGGAGAGTGGATTTTTCTTACTGGCTGTCAGCATCTCCCCCGTTCCTTCAGCACGATCCCTCTCTCCCTGTCCCACCACGGTGCCCCAGTCAGGAAGAAGGCAAACTCTTTCCAACCCTCTCTCAGCAGGAGGACGGTGCACGCAGTGGCGTCTCCGGTCTAGAAGACTGCTGAACAAGCTCAAGCGTCTCGGGGATAGGAGCGAGTTGCCGGCAGAGGCGGCCACCACAGGAGCGGAGCCAGTGGAAAGACAAAACCAGGCACGGAAGGTCTTGTGGCCTGGGAAGGAAGGAGAAGTAGAGGATAAAGAAAGGATCACGGCAAATGTAAGCCAAAGCAGAGGATTCCCACTTCATCCAGTGACGGAACAGCAGAACAAAAATGCAAATCCTCAGGAGTATCTGCGTGGTGACCACAGGGAGAGGTTTCCAAGGAGTGCCCCAGAAAGTCGGTACACCCTGGGACAAGGGACGTTTTTCCAGGGAAATTTGGAACTGTCTATCAAGGAGCTAAATGAGACTATTTTGAAGGATCACCGTTACTGTGTGTTGAGTGAGGCACACCTCTTGTGTTGCACCCCACGTCCGTGTCCTCTGAGAGATCACGACTACTGCAGAAACCACAAGGATGGTGTCTCAGCACTTAAGGACCACGATTACTGTCACGTGCAAAGGATTCATTATCAGGGCGGAGTTAATAAAATTGTTCGTCTTACAGGTAAGGCTCGGGCTGTGCTCCACAGGCTGGCAACGCGAAAATCCCGCATCAGGCGAATCATCAGGAAAGCCAAGCGAATTATGTGGCAGTACAAGAGTTGGGTCAACAAGAGGTTGGAGTTCCCTCAGGGTTCCTCTAGCACCGGCTGTCTTTCTGAACCCGCTGTCCTTCCTGATGAGGCAGAAGACGTTCCTGCTGAGGCAGAAGACGACCCCACGAAGGGAACGTGTGGGGCGTTTTGTTCTCCTGCAAAGCAAGAGGCTGTCCCCCCCGAGTCTCGGAGTGAGGGTGGCTCCCAAGGGACGTCATCAGAAGCATTTTGTGCCCCTGTGGTGTCTTCTGAACCGGCGGCTGCAGCCCCACCGTCAAATGCAGCCGCAGAGGCGCAGAGAGAAGAGACGCACGCTGAGGCGTCCGTACACCACGAGGCGCAGAGGGCACAGCTGATCCAGAGCCCGGACGCTAAGCAAAATGTCGAAGGACATGAAGTCGTTAATTCAAATTATGTATCGCTGCATGACGCGTACAAAATGGTGATGCGGACTGTTGACCACATGTTGGACTCCGTCTGCCAGAACTTGGAGCTCGGCAGCTACTCTCAGTGTAAGGATCTGTGGCCCATCGTCATTCAGATAGACAGCTGATGGTCAGCAGGACGTCGGCAGCGACGCTTGGGTCTGTCAAGGCGAACGGTCAGGACCTTCTTCCCTGCTGTAAAACCCACTGGAGTGATCTGAGAGAAGAAACGCCGCGAAAGGTGCACGGAGGCGGATTAGGGGGTATAAAACTCAGTATGCGGTGCCTGCTAGGGAAACTGGGATTGCCTGGGAGGCTTCGGGGAAAAGGGCAGGATAAAAGGAGGCATGAGAAAACAGAGCGAAGTGGGGAGGACAGGCAGCTGCGTGTGAGCAGGCAGCTGGTCGGTACGTTTTCTGGCCAGGCTGTGCCTGATGGCTGCAGTCTTTCCTGTCTTCTCATAAAACTATTTCAAATTATTGTCCGTGTTGTCACACTCCCTGGTCTGTCCCGTCTGCGCTCGCAAACAAAAGGAGCAGCGCTCGCTGGGCCTGGAGGGGAGGAATCCCTGGGGGTCGTCGGAACACAGAACTTGGCTGCTGTTAGTGCGTCTCAGGCAGCGTGCCCGGCTTTCTGGGTTTTCCCACTATCAATTTAAGCAAAGAGAATGGAGAGAAATTGTTAGGTTACAGATTGTTATGGCCCCCGGCAGAAGACCGGTCCTGGGCCGGGAGGTGAAGCTCCCTGAATTCCACCACGGGAGATGCCCAGAGGAATCGCTGGATGCTTGGGGTGCCGGCGAGGGAAGCGGCAGCAGCTGCGGGCAGTGCTGCGTGGGCGGCTGAGCCTCACCGGTGCCCCCGGGGAAGCTGAACGCCGCCCCCAGGAGAGGACCTTCTGGAGAGGAGAATCTTGCAACACCAACAGTGCCCAGGGAACCACGACACTCATTCCAGACAAGGCTGAGATTACTCTGGTAATATTAGAAAAGCCTAATTGGGGTATAAGTGAAGCAAAACTAGACTGAATTTGTGGTATTTTATATCAGGAACAGTGTGGCCAGCAGGAACGGGGCAGTGATGGTCCCCCTGTCCTCGGCACTGGTGAGGCCCCACCTCGAGTGCTGCGTTCAGTTTTGGGCCCTTCATGACAAAACAGACATTGAGGTGTTGGAGTGTGTCCAGAGAAGGGCAGCGGAGCTGTGAGGGGTCTGGAGGACACGTCCTGTGAGGAGCGGCTGAGGGAACCGGGGTGGTAGATGTGTTGCCTCCACCCGTTACCCCAGCCCTGCCCAGCCCACCACTAACCCACGTCCCTCAGCACCGCGGCTACGCGGCTTTTAAATCCCCCCAGGGACGGCGACTCCACCACTGCCCTGGGCACCCTGTGCCACTGCTTCACAACCCTTTTGGGGACGATTTTACTCCACATCTCCATCCTAATCCTCCCCTGGGGCAACCTGAGGCCGTTCCCTCTTGTCCCATCGCCTGTTCCTTGGGAGCAGAGACCGACCCCCCCTCACTACCCCCTCCTTTCAGGGAGCTGTAGAGAGCAAGAAG